TGGCAAGGAAGCGAGAGCCCTCCTGACTTTGGACCCGGGTGAACCTTCGGAACATTCCTAAACGAGCATCATTCGCTTTGTATAAGCATGGAGAATAGGCCTGTAATTAAGGAATACGAACACTTTAGCTCGCAGTTCATATAGATCACCATCCCTTTCCTCCCCCATGAGTACGTGGCAAGCCGCTGCGTGGAGGTCTTTGTTCCATTCCTGTGGATGAAAATTAACTCCTGAGTCACATCGTAGAACATCTACTGATCAATGAGCACTGTATCTAAGAGGTGATGTTGAACAGGGAATGCTCGGTATCCATATTATCCTTTATCGGCTAGTTCACGTATTTCATTATTGTTTCAGTTTCGATGTCATTCAAATGCACATACTCTACGAAATGGCTGAGAAAACTGTACACGATCAAAACTAACATGTTACTTCCATAAACCAAGCGAGAACGGTGTTAGGAGTAATGAAAAACACTCACCATACCGGGGAAGTACCTCTCATGGAACTGTAAATACATCTGGGACACTCCTGCTTTCGTAGGTAAGGCAACTTTCCAGGGTCACAGCTGAAGCGCCAGCTGAAAAATAATACGTGTTTCCTTCCCCAGAACTGGAGCTCTCCTAATGGGAAAAAAGCCCATTGACAGTTGGGGTTCGATACTAGGAACAGCGACTTACAGAGGACGAGAGCGAGTGAAATAAGAGCGAACATTTTGATGGATACAGATTATTGTGACGGTCCGCTCCTTTTATACGGATTGTGTTTCTATAAAGACACTTTTTTCAGAGCATATTGGTACATATCCATGTGAGAGCTTTGTTTGGACTTTCTAGCTCTTTGTAGTCTTGTCAGTGCACTATAGTGTAAAGAGGCTTGCAAATTGATGAGGCAAAACAGACTGGGTCATATCTACTTCGACACGGACGTTCCTGTCAATAGAGTAGAATCGGAAAAATTCATGTTGAGAGCAGATCAGCACAGCTCGCATTGCTGCCTTGGTGAACTGGTTATTTGGAAAGCCCATATATGGATGTAAAGGGCATCAGAGTGAACGAAGAACTCAGTCCCATGTCCTAGAAAAGGAGGGAAGAATCTGCCACAGTCGAAGTTTTAGTTCGCTCTCATTTCGCTGGTTCTCGTCTCGTGCTCACTTACCCTAGGGTAAGGATCACTACTGATGAGCTTTCGTTAACATCCGATGATGACAACCTCAATTCTAGGAGAGGAAAGGTCACTCATTGAAGTGTTTGTTGAGTTACTTTTGGTTTAGTGTCTTACATAAGCAATAGGATATAATTATTCCCTTTTCAGCCTGAAAGCTTCATGTGTGGGTGGGTGTAAAAGTGATTCCTATGGTGTGGACCCGTTGTTGATGTGAAATTTTCATCACGCATCCATCAGATGTCCCATTCCCGAGGGCTTTTTGATTCGTACCACACGGCCCAATAAAACAATGTCGTAAACATTGTTTTCAGCCTTTGTGACAGATTAGATTTGAAGGTGAATTCATCCTATATAAACCCGTTGTGCTGACAACTACGTCACTTGCAGAAGCTTGAACTTATCTACGAACTAATAGCGTTGCCCTGTACTTCATGGAACGCGTCAGCTTTTCTAACGTGTCTAAAATCCTCTTCTAAATGCCACTACATTTCTCAGGGGCTTGGAATAACTAGGGAAACGTTAAGCTGTAGATCACGTCAAAAACACCATTAGATAAATTCCCAGACGATTATTCTTTGATCTCGATGTGATAGTAATAATCCTGGTTGTATATGGTGCTACCTTCCTGGAGGAAGTGACAAAAACTCTTCCCTGAAAACCCCTAATATTGGCATTCTCACATGAGTGAGTGCCTAATGCCACATCTGTATGGGGAATCTGTCGTCTGGCTCGTTTTCTGTTCTCCCATCTTCTGTGTCTGGTCTCTCGTCCACGCTCGCAGTGTCTCTTCACATCTTTCTTCTTGTGTGGTACTTCTACCAGTGGTGTTCGAAGTGAGAAGGCTCGTTGAAGGTTCATCACGGCGTTACTCATATCAGCACCTCCCCACCTCCTCCCCCACTACTTTACACATTATGCGCCCTCGCGATGCGAGTCGACTGTCCTCCCTCACCGGGATGGTATACCGAAAATCATCCTTTCTCATCGAGATCTAAGCAAAGTCTTGACTTTGGATGGGACCCCAACGCATAACTTGCGCTTTCCGGGACGGTGCGCTACTCATTACGCTACCAGCGCTGCCTCTTACCCACTCAGCTTGGCAGCTTTTGTGCCTTAGCCTTGCACCCTCACGCGTTTAACAGGGTGAGCAGGTCTACCGTATCAGCACTGAGACGCGAGTCTGAAGGCTGAAAGATTGAGGCCCCACAACTTCTTCGAGCTAAGTTCAAATTACGGGTCTGAATTTCCTAGGGGGTTTCACTTGATCACAGTCAGGGTGCAGTACAGTACAAATGAGTGGAACAAAGTTCCATTAGCAACCCTACTCCACCGCCCTCCACCCCCCCCCCCTCCCGCCAAAAGTTCCTCTATTCCCTCACACCTTTTCCTCCTAAACCCATCACATTCCCCAACTCTCCCAACTCCCCAAGTCAACAACCGGAGAAAGCTTTAATGCAGCCCGGAAATTTTTCCTGCAAGCGTACCGGCAAAATACGCCACCCACTGATCACTAACCCCATTAGCCAAGTGCGACCACCAACCTTACCACGCGAACCCCGCTGGCATGTCGCACAACCGCACCAACAACAGAAGGTGGTGTGTTGCAGGTGTGCATAGGTATTCGCTATCTATACAGATGCATTCCAATTTGTGCTCAGTTGACAGCCGGCGGCTCTGTCAAGAAGACGGCGTCCAATGATATTAGGTTGTCCGGAAAGTTCTTAGCGTTTTGGGTGTTTAACTTTAAACGATCATAACTTTCTTAACACTCTCATCGGATTTAATCCAAATAAGCACCATTCGAATCAGCACACTTTTGCCAATGTGGCAGCAGTCGAGAAATCCCATCAAAGAAAAAACTGGGTGGTCGAGAATCCACGAAATCTGCGAAGGTCTTTTTTGCCTGGTCCTGTTTGATGAAGTATTTCTCAGCAGGAAAGTTCTGAAAATGTCTGAAAAGGTGACAGTCGGTTGGTGAAAGGTCTAGAGAATATGGTGGGTGAGGTAGAACTTCAACTCCCAATTCGTTCAATTTATGGATAGTGATTTGTGAAACGTGTGGGCGGGCGTTGTCATGCAAAAGAATCGGACCCTTTCTTTTGATAAGTGTTGGCTGCAGCTGACAATATTTTCGGTACATTTGGTCGGTTTGTTCACAGTAGGGTTCTGCTGTGATGGTTTGGCCTGGTGATGAAAAGTTATAGTGGATTACAACAGCCGATGACCACCAAACCTGACCAGAATTTTTTTTCGCGAGGGTTCGGCTTTGAAAATTACCTCGGTGGTTCCTCCAAATCCAACCACTGTCCGGAACGTCTCCTGTTATCATACATGATCCATTTTTCATCACAGGTGACAAATCCGTTCAAAAACGGGTCAATTCTTTTGCGCAAAAGCAGTGAAGAAGGAACCTCGAGACGTGCCGATTCCTGCCGGTCACTCCGATTGTGGGGCACCCAATTGTCGAGTTTTTTCACCTTCCCAATGCGTTCCAGACCATCTGCAACAGTGGATTTGCCAAGGCCTAGCTCTTCTGCTATCTCTCGAACTGTTTGGGATGGGTCAACCTTCAAAATCCCCCTAAAATCCTCGTCAGATATTGCTTTAGGTCGACCGCTATGAGGCTCACCTTCAAGGCTGAAATTTCCAGAACGACATTTGTTGAGCCATTGCGGCACAGTGCTTTCTCTAGCACTATTGGGCCTCCACACCTGGTTAATTTGTTGAGCTGTTTCGATTGCGGATTGCCCCAATTTATAGCCGAAGAAAAAAATCGTCCGAAGTGCTCTTTTCACATGCTTGAAAAAATCTTGAAAAAAGAGGTTTATCAAGCAATGGTGAAACGGCAATTATACCATCAGATAGCGCAAGAAATTCTCTACAGGATGTGCTACTGAGAAGCAAGGCAGAATGAGTTTTTAATCAGCAGTGAATGTACAAAGATTAGGTGCACAAAACGCTAAGAACTTTCCGGACAACCTAATAATAAGGCGGTGCGTGGATGGCACTGGTGCATCCTGACATCCTCCAACAGTTTATTAAATTTAAACCCGAGGATGAGCAGTGGTGCCGAGCGAGATCGAATGAGTTCGCAAGGACAGGAAAGATGTCCAGTGAGTGGAGATAAGTACTGCTCAAAATTTCCCTAATACGATGTAATTCAGATGTGATCGGAGCCGTGGATGGCACACTGGTCCGTATTAGGACACCGGCTGTTGACGGATATCAGTATGTGAGCAGGAAGGGAACGTCTTGCCTCAACGTCTGCGTTATTGCAGACGCTGTGGGTCGAATCCTGTACGTCAACACCGGGTCCCCAGGATCAGTGCACGACGCTACCGTTTGGCGTAACTCCTTCTCCTGCCAGCAGTGTATTTGACAGTGGAGGGGCTGTAGGAGGTTATCGCCTTCTCGGCGACTCGGGGTACGCCAACGGTAGCGGAATAATTACGCCATCCCAGAAATTAGCAAAATGTGCAATTTGCCTGCAAAATGCTCAATATGTCCCTCCCAAGCCAAACAGCGTGTCTTGTCTGAACTTCATACACGAAAAAAATTGCCTTGGCGCTATTTTTCGCTTTCTACTCTGATTATCATCTTCGAAAAAAACATGCAGTCACAGAATCCTAATTAACTTTGGTAGTTTTCAATTTACGTGCCTGCTTTCCTCGAATCGACTGCCCACTCTAATCCACCTTATACGGTAACTTCTTATGGTCGTTTTTATCCACACATACTTAAATTTAATGCTTTTAGATTGTGAAATGAATCAATTACGCCTTTTCATTAGGTACGTCATCGCGGATTAAGCAGTGCTCGTCTTCGTGATGTGGGGAATCAGTCGTGCAGCACAATCTCCTTCACCATTTAGGGTTGAAGGGGAAGTACGATTCTGTTCAACCTCAATGTCCTGCTTCACCTCCACTTCAACTCTTTTTGCCTTCACCTTTCCAGAAATAAAGTTGTCCACCGGGGAGGAACTGCCCGAAGAACGACTGAATTCGCCATTTGTCCTTGGTTTCCCATACTTCCCACCCTCACATCTAAGAGACATTTCTTAATACTTAAGAGGTAGACTACCCGTGTATGCGATAAACAGATCCGCACGCTGCATAGTGTATCACGTTGCCGCTCGGAGGCGCGTGGTAAGGAGGTTGGGACATGTGTTGGGCTCTGACCACGCCTTCTTCAGTCTGACTCCACCCATGGATTCACACCTCCGCCATCATTGCCCGTGTACCTATCTCCAGCGGTTGT